GGCCCTGTGGGGGTGGGGAGATGGGGTAGGGTGCTGGGGGGATGGGCCCTTTTGGGGGCAGGAGGATCTGGGAGGGGGGCAGGGGGATCTAGAAGGGACCGGGCCCTTTCTTGGGGAGTGAGGGGGCTGTGGAGGGATCTGGAGGGAACTTTTGGAGGGGGATCTTGGAGGGATCTGGAAGGGACCAGGTCCTCTGGGGGAGAGCGAGTTGGATCTGGAGGGGATATGGGGGAATCTGGAAGGGTCTGGGGCCCTTTGTAGGGATGAATGGGATCTAGAAGAGACCTGGCCCTTTGGGAGATGGGGCCATCTGAAGGGCACTAGGTCCCTAGGAGATCAAAGATATGGGGCTGTTGGAGGGGTCTGGGGATGGGGGTGAAATGAGGGGGTGTTTGGAGGAGGATGTGGAGAGGGGCTCAGGCTGGGGCTTTTCTATCAGTAATTCCCGTTACAAAATTTATCAGGTGCCTGCTGGTCTCAGTAATTGACCAGATTCCAGGCAGAGGGAAAGGGGCTGCTGGGTTTTCGTTTTCGTTTTACTGTCAATTTAAGTCACTTTTTTTTCTTCTCTTTTTTTTAATGCAGGGCCCTTTGTTTACCTCATGCTTTACAGACAAACAAAATAAAAGTTTCCTGCCTCGAAGAGCGTATAGTCTGTCCTCAGTTCTGCTGTCAGTAGTTCTATGTGGGTGGAAAACTCCCTCTACTCCTCTCCCCCATCTCCAGACTCAATAGACCACCCAGGGCCCCTTCACCATAAAGGGGCGCTAAGCAGGTCCAGCCACCCTCCTCCTGTTGAGGCCTAAATTAAAACAGGGAAAACCAAATATCCAGGGAGGCAGGGCTAGGAGAAGACAGCAGTGACTACACATCAATGTTTCCTCTAATTTTTTCCATCTATGTGCGGAATAAATTTTGTTATGTGCACTGGGCGTGTGTAGATGTGCCCCACCAATAGAAGTACATGTTGCCAGCAGCAGGCACCCTACTAATCAGCTGGGCGGCTGCCCAAGCGCTCAGCTTTGAGGAAACATCTACACACCAGGATATGCTTTTTGGGGGGCTTTTATGTTGTTTTTTTGCTAGTGGGATTATTCCTATGCGTTAGTTCTTTGCTGGGTTAAGCTCATGTGCACAGCCCCGTGCAGGATAAAACCCCACCTCGAAATGGTCTGGGAAGAGCAGAATGTATCTATTGAGCACTGAGCTAATTTTTGGCTAGTGTGAAATAGACTCCCATGTGTCCTGCCAGCCCAAAGTCAGTGCACCATCGAGGAGCGTATTTGAGTCATGTGTAGGGTTTGTATTTCCCCCTGCTGAGAGGTGAATTTCATCCATGATTTGGCAGAAGACAAGTAGGAGTTTTTCAGCAGAGAGAGTGCAACCATAACAATATTTTCTTCTGTTGTCTCCTGGGGCCTTCAGCCCAATTATTCTGCAAGCACAAAGTAGCATCATTTTTATTTCAGCCTCATTCAAACCTAGAAACTCTTCTCAGCTTCAAGCATGGATTTTTTATATATAATATAAGGTGTTC